CCGAGATTTCCATATGAGGTACCCCAAGAAGCCCAGAGACAAGAGGGCTCAAGGCCAGTAGCATCTCCTTTAGACCCTTGTCCCCTTCTACACCAAAGGAGTTTCTTTGTCGCATAGCATAGCAATAAATACAGATTATAGATCTCGGAGACCAAGATCCTGGAAGAGGGGAGTAGTGTAACGGAGCCATTTCAACTGTCTGGTGTATGAGTACACACAGGGCCCGGTTACATGCTGAGAGTTATTGTTAGAAGCCAGTTGCACAGTGACATGCAAGTACCGGCAGTGTGGTTAGCTACCAGCTGTCAGAGTAACTACATTCTGAGCGCTAGGAAGAGGATCTACTCATGGGAGCAATGACTGACGAGTCTGTGCCTCGCCAATGATTAGAAGGCCAGCCAGAGTGAAGCTCTGAGTGCTCGGCGATCCTCTACATCCTCTGAGCATTGGAAGTCCACCGGTAACGGAAGGGATTATGCCTGGGAAGTCTACAATAAGCGAAAGCTATAGAGCAATGATTAAGCTTACACCTGAGCGGCAACTCATTCATGCAGGCCCCTGTTGTATGGCAACAACGGCTGCAGGTGTTACAAAGGCTTTGACTAAGGGTGGTTGCCTTCGGAACCGGAAGCACTCGCTGACGTTTAGAGAGAAGCGGGGTAGCGATGGTATTGCTTACCTTCCGCTAGAAGGCAGCACCAGAACTTAGTAAGGAAGTAGGAGCAGGGAATAGAGTCTTTTGGAGTATAAGTACTCAGGATCATTCCCGCCCAAACTGTCCGGATCCTCATCTTCATCTTGACCTAGAATTATCGGTAGCAGAGCCCTTAAAGATTATTGAGTTCTAAGCGATAGTATCTTTGAATAAATCTGCACCTGATTTCTATCTTGCACGGCCGCATCTATTCTATTGGATTCTAGCGATACATAGATAGGCTGCCCCCATTACAGAAAGTGCAGGAAACCGAGACGACGGAGTGTTCTGGGACAAGGGTGGAGAAAACAGGTCTCCCTTTGTTAGGTTACACGTTTTCACTTGAGGTTTCCTTTGTTGATAGAAATGGATGCGGAAAATAGAGTGTAACGGAGCCATTTCAACTGTCTGATGTATGAGTACACACAGGGCCCGGTTACATGCTGAGAGTTATTGATAGAAGCCAGTTGCACAGTGACATGCAAGTACCGGCAGGGTGGTTAGCTACCAGCTGTCAGCGTAACTACATTCTGAGCGCTAGGAAGAGTATCTATTCATGGGAGCAATGAATGACGAGTCTATGCCTCGCCAATGATTAGAAGGCCGGCCAGATTGAAGCTCTGAGTGCTCGGCGATCCTCTACATCCTTCGATCATAATACGTCCGCCCGTAGTGGCAGGGACTATGCCTGGGAGAGTCTACAATAAGTGAAGAGCTCTACAGCAATGGTTAAGCTTACGCCTAAGCGGTAGCTCGTTCATGCAGGTCCCGGTTGTGCGACAACCAAGACTGCAGGTGTTACAAAGGCTTTGACTAAGGGTGGTTGCCTTCGGAACCGGGAGCACCCGCTAACGCTAAGAAAGAAGCGGGGTAGCGGTGGTATTGCTTCCCTTCCACTTGAAGGAATCACCAGAACTTAGTAAGGAAGTAGGAGCAGGGAATGGAATCCTTTGGAGTATAAGTACTCAGGATCCTTCTCGCCCAACTATCCGATTTCCTTAGTTTCATCTTGCACGGCCCCACCTTTTCTATCGGATCCTAGCGATACGTGGAAAGGCTGTCCCCGGTACATAGAGTCAGTATGGAATCGTTATTAGAGCTACATTTTCTTCTATGCGTATAATGTACCATACCAAAAATCCTAGGTTGGACTCGGGACGAGTCTACCGGAGAGGGGGTTAGTGTAACAGAGCCACAGTAGGGCTGTTACAAAAGTACCTGTTCTACCAGTCAAGCCATACGGCCCTAGGTTAACCGCAGCTGGTTCTTCATCGATGGGTGAAGAGAAGGGCAGATGAGCCCCTACCTCTATTGGTATAGAGGGTAGAGATCCTGGCGAGCAAGAAGTCTTACAAGTCAAGCTAGACGACTGGACCAAAACTAGAGCAGAAGGACGAGCATGCCAAATAAAAAGAAGGGTAACCCCAAACATAAGTTACCCTACCTTGGAAGTCAACCTTTGAGGCGCAATAACTTAGCAACCGATGCTCGGAAAATATGCTTTACTTCGTCAGAAAGGATCCTGACGAAGCTCCGGTACATTTGGGGTGGTTGAATGAACGGATTGCGGAGTTGAGGAAACACTACAAAATAAACACGTTTTAGACCCAAAAATAACCCCCGGAGTGTCGAACCGCCGGAACCCTCTTGTTTCAGTCCGGTACACCTTTGAGGGGGAGTAGCAGTACGACCCAAGCTACTAAAAGCAAACCTCGCTTTACAAAACACCAAATCTGTTCTAAAAACAAATTGAATAAGCAGTTGCTATCTGGTCGGTTGTTTCCGCTAGTTCTTAGGATCCCGACCAGCTCTTGGCAGAGATTGCGTGATTTGACTCGGGCGGAAGTTTGTCAGATGTGTGACAGCAACTCCTCTCGCCCCTCATAGAAAAAAGTCGCGGTGTCCCCGGACTAAGGAGGGACAGACGGCCTAGAGAAGAAAAGCGGCAAAAAAAGGGGCGGAACTTCAATAAAAAGTACTCGGTTGCCCCCAGTTTGAACTCGGGGAGTGATGGAATCTTTACTAGTGAGGAGACCCCTTAAAGTTATTAAGTTTCTAGACTACGAATACGATCAAACAAAAAAAACTCCATCTTTCGATCGAACGAGCCCAATGCTAACCGATCGTTCCCCGTTTACCATTTCTATTTTGATCGAAGTCACGGTCGTGCCCCATCCTAGCACCCCCGTTACAGGGATTCCTTTGTGGATGCTATCAGAGCAGCCTTTGGCGAAGCCATCTCTAGGGATGATGATGTAGCGCAATGGAATACCCTCACCCACACAGCTAAGGGAGGAATAGACTCCTTCCTGAATAGTATTATTCAGCTGATGTGGAGGAGGGCTATGAGGGCCAGTTAGTCGATGATAAGATCCTCAGTTGCCTCATTCTGGACCTAGGCATGAGTTGGGCTCTCTTTACTCCCAAGTCAAAATCCGTGATGGAACGGATAGCTGCTCTAAGAGAGCTAGGACACACCCATGAGAGGTACCAGACGGTAGTAGCTGAGAAAAACACCCGCCAGGACCGAGAAAGATCCTCCTGCTGAGAAGGAACGGCATCCCAAGAGGAAGAGAGAAGCTGCAAGCTCCTCAAACCTCAGAAGGAAGCAGGTTCCAAAGATAGAGCGGTGGAACTGAAGGGTATCCGGGGAATATCCTAGAAGAAAGAAGGAAAGCAGAAGTATGCTTGAAGGTATGACCTTCCGGTACTCCCTATTGGTAGAGTTCATAGACTGACTTGTGCAATAGTGCGGCAAGTCCAGACACAAATGGACCGATTGTTGGTCCAAGAAACCTACTGTAGTCCGAGTGGCAGCAGTGAGGGTACAAAACCGAAAAAAGAGGACATGGCAAGCCCAATCCTCAGAAGAAAGCTAAAGTGGCTGCTATAACAGCAGCGGAACCTGTAACGTGGACAGTCTTCTACGTATCGCTAGAATCCGATAGAAAGATGTGGCCGTGCAAGATAGAAATCAGGTTTAGATTATTCAAAGATTCTTTCGCTAAAAACTCAATAATCATTAAGGGCTCTGCTACTGAGTAGAATACTTGCTAACTCTGATGAAGACTTGGGAATCCGGATAGTTGGGCAGGAAGGACCCTGAGTACTTATACTCCAAAGGATTCTGTTCCGCTGCTCCTACTTCCTTACTAAGTTCCAGTGATGCCTTCTAGTGGAAGGGAAGCAATACCACCGCTACCCCGCTTTTCTCTAAGTGTCAGCGGGTGCTTCCGGTTCCGAAGGCGACCACCCTTAGTCAAAGCCTTTTGTGACACTTGCAGTCTTGGTTGTGGCACAACCGGGACCTGCATGAATGAGCTGCCCCTCAGGTGTAAGCTTAATCGTTGCTGTAGAGCTCTTCGCTTATTGTAGACTTGCCAGGCAAGGCCCTCGCCACTACCGACGGACTTATCATGCTCAGAGGATGTAGAGGATCACCGAGCAGTCAGAGCTTCGATCTGGCTGACCTTCTAGTCATTGGCGAGGCATTGTAACGGCAAAATTGTATTTCGGCTAAGGTGATAGATTGGATTGTGAAAAGGGGGTATTGCGCAGTTGAACTATGATTTGTAATGGGTTTTCTGTTATGTTCTTTCAGTTTCCGTTACGCGGGGTATTAGTCATCAATGGACTAGGAGTTGGATATATAAGGGGGCGTTGTCTCGTGCCTTTTGATGTTTTCCTTCCTTTCCTCTTCTCTTCACGGAACCTCCTGTATCTACCCTCGCAACACCAAAACTTTCGAACGATAAAACTTTTGGCCTGCACTCTCGATAAAAACTTTTACACGAACACGATCCTGTATGTCAATAGACTCGTAATCTATTGGTATCTTATCGCACATCTGTTCGTACGCGAAGTCATCCCACGCTCTAGTCCCTGAGTTGTGAACTTTCTACCCCTCAAGCCCTCGCCTAAGTCTCGCCGACCGCCAGCGAAACCAACCAACAACCTGGCCTCAACCCACCCAACGCCACCAAACACCGCGGGCAGGAAAAGAAACTCTATCAGAAGTCTTCCCAAACCCAACTCGAACCGGAACATCAACCAATGTCCCAACAAGCCTCTTCTGAGCTCCTGGTTTGCAGGAGCCCCCCCCCCAGGAACCCCAGCCCCCCCACGCTTTGCCGACACCCAATCCAGTCAATCCATCCAACAAACACAGTCCACCACGATCGAGCAAACCCAACCCAGCGGCGAACCCTTTTCTATCTTCGCCGAATACACCCAATACAATGAACCATACGCACCAAAGTATGACTACATCCACCCTAGCATCGTCCCCCAAGAAACCCACGCCAGAATGGATCTCAATTACATCTCGTGGGTAATTAGAAATGCCCTCACCGTGGCGCTCGAACCCCTCAACAAGGGAACCGAACAAACCAACAAAAATCTGAAAGCCACCATCGAAGTCCTATCCGTCCAAAATGAATCCCTCAAGCACACCGTCGACACCCTGGCCAAACAAATGTTCGAAATGACAAAGAACCAGGACAAAACATCCGACAAACTCCACCGCCTACAACACCAACTCACCAATCTCTCCATCAACAGGCACAACAACCAAATGGCCGCCGAAGGAAGAACTGCCACAACCACCACCACCGCCGCCGTCACCGCTGCCACCATCCCCGCCCCTCCCCCCGCACCCACCAATAACTCGAACCATGCTCAACAACAACCAAAAGGAAAAGGAAAAGAAACACCAATCCCACAAGCACCAAAATCCTACGCATCCATCGCAGCAGGAAACGCCAACCCCGAATACACCACGGTCACAAACAGGAGGAAGCCCAAACCTAAGGTGGACCCACTATTCAAACCAGAAGTCACCAAAATCAACAGGGAAATAGTCATCGAAACAAATAAAGAATCACCAGTCACCCCCTGTAACGGGGGTGCCTTGAGAGGGCGCGACCGTGACTTCGATCAGGTAGATAGGCAGAAAGGAATTCGACAAGCTATCCTTTCGGCTCGTTCGATGGAAAGATAGAATTTCATTTGTTTTGATCGTTATTTGTAGTCTAGAAACTTATAACTTTAAGGGGGCTCCTCGCTGGTAAAGACTCCCTGATCTCCCCGAAACCAAGCTGGGGCAACCGAGTTCCTTTATGGAAGTTCGGCGCCCCTTCCTTCATTACCTCTTTCCTTTTTTCACTGGCCGTCCGCCTTTCAAATAATCTGGGGGCACCACCTATTTTCTATCAGGGGGGGAGGAGAAGAGTTGCTACCACACCGCGGACGAATTTTCGTCCGAGTCAAATCTCGCAATCCTTGCCAAGAAAGGGTCGGGATCCTAGGAACTAGAGGAAACAGCCGACCAGACAGCAATTGCTTATTCAGAGTATTTAGAATAGATTTGGGTGTTTTTTAAAGCAAAGGTTTGCTTTGGTATTTTGGGTCGCACTCTTACTCCCCCCAAAGATGCAGCGGGCTGAAACAGGAGGGTTCCGGCGGTTCGACGCTCCGGGGGTTATTTTTGGGGTCTAAAACGTGTTTATTTTGCAGTGTTTCCTCAACTCCGCAATGCCTTCATTCAACCACCCCAAATGGACCGGAGCATCGCCAGGATCCTTTCTGACGTGGTAAAGCATTTTTTCCGGGCATCGGCTGCAAAGTTATTGCGCCTCAAAGGTTGAATGCCAAGGTAGGGTAACTTATGTTTGGGGTTACCCTTCCTTATTTGGTCTGCTCGTCCTGCTGCGCTAGTTTTGGTCCAGTCGTCTAGCTTGACTTGTAAGACTTCTTACTCGCCAGGATCTCTACCCTCTATACCAATAGAGGTAGGGGCTCATCTGCCCTTCTCTTCACCCATCGATGAAGAACCAGCTGCGGTTAACCTAGGGCCGTATGGCTTGACTGGTAGAATAGGTATTTTTGTAACAGCCCTACTGTGGCCCTGTTACACCCCCTCCGACATCAGAACAAGAATCAACTCAAAAATCGAAAACCCAGACTGCCAGCTTATCGCCGCCAGGAAAACCTCAAAGAACAACATCGTGCTAGAAACCAAATTTGCTACCCCCGCCTCAAAAGTCTTCGAATACAAACAAGAAATTGAATCAGCCCTAAGAGAACTCAAGGTCCCCTTCGTTGACATAAGGGTCAACTCCAGATGGTCCAAATTTATCGTACACGGAATCCCAACAACAATCGGAGACGGCTATGAAGCAGGACAGGTCATGGCCTCAGAAGTCAGAAGCAACTACGGAACCACCTTCGAAATGGCACAAATCCCCAGATGGCTAAGCAGACCTGAGGCTAGAGCAGGGAAAACGCACTCGTCAATGATCATCGCACTCCCAGGACAATATACAAAAGACAACCTCGGACTGAGATATCTTACCCTATTCGACCGGCAATGCAAAATCGACAACTACCTCCCAGCCAACCCAGAAACCCAATGCTCCAAATGCTTAGAATATGGCCACCGACACGAAAGATGCTCCCACCAAACCGGGAGATGCGGACACTGTGCAGAGGACCACCAAACAAAGGAACACCCATGCTCAGAATGCCCAGGAGGTACCAGATGCATCCATACACCCATCCGATGCTACCACTGCAAGGCCCCCCACACAAAGCAACAGACGCCAACTGCCCAGAACGTACCAAAGCCCGCATCATAAACAAACTTGGACCAGACACAAACCCAAGCCCACTACCAATACCCATCGTCATCCCGGCCCAAGACCCCCCCAAGAAGATGCAGCCATGGATAACACCCAATGAGTCACATCAAAAGAACAACGGCCATCGCACAGCAACTGAACTGTGCGAAAAACGAGCTTACAACAAAGTCAGTAGTGGAGGAAGCAGAACAGGACCACAACATACTTTTCCTTTTGTTACAAGAACCATGGAACAACAAAGACGGCCACCCACCGGAATCCCCTCTCTTTTACCTATTCACAGCCAGCAACAAGGGCACTAAAGCCGCCACATACATCAGGAAACACGCCAACCTGAAACCAAAACACCACTACACCCACAGTAATTTCATCGTCTCCGTCACGGTGGAAATCCAGAATCAGAAAACACAGATCCTCAACATATACTCACCAGGACGAAGCGGACCCTTCGCAGAAATCTCCAGACAGATAACCACCATCCAAAACTGCCTCGTCATGGGAGACTTCAACAGCCACCACCAACTCTGGTATGGGCACAGATCCCACGACTACACCAACACAATCAGAACGGACAAACCCGGATCCAGGAAAATAAAGAGATGGATCGATCGACAAAGGCTATCCCTACTTAACGAACCAGGCGAATTCACACATTTCCCCAGAAACAACAACAGACCGACCATCATTGACTTGACTTTAGTCAAAGGACCAGTACTGGACCATGACGTCCGGTGGAACATTGACCGACATGGAGCCGGATCCGACCATGGGAAAACCATCCTACAACTACGAATAGAGAAGCCCCCCCACACCCCCAGGAGACTATGGCACCGAACGAATTGGGGAAAACTGGAAGAGAACATCTCAGGCCTCCAGTTCCCCCCCGAAGCATGGGAATGCCAGAACCACACAAAGCAATCGGTCGACTTCATACTCGAACATATAGATAACCTGATAGATCAGGTGACCCCATGGAGCCAAGGACACATCAAATCTAAGAAATGGTGGACCCCAGAGCTGAAAGAAATCAAATCAACCCTCAACACACTAGAAAGGAAAGCCAGAAACACCCAAAAGGACGAAGATAGGGAATCTTTCAGGAAAACCAGTAGAAGATGGACGGCAGCAATCCGAAAAGCCAAAGCGGAACAAAGGGAAAAAGAACTCACAGAGGCCAAGGGAAGTGCCATCTGGAAACTAATCAACACGGGGAAAAGAAGGGACATTACAATCCCAACTATACAAGGTGAAGAAACGTTTGCGGGGAAGTGCCAAGCTCTAAGAGCCCAACTCTTCCCCACAAATTGGACGTCCCCCCAACAACCCCCCACTCCAAATCAGACCCCCATCCTTTGACCTTAGTGACGATTTCCAGGAAGTAACAACAGAAGAAATCACGTCCGCAATCAAATCATGCCCAGCACATTCGGCCACTGGCCCTGACAACATACCATATCCTTTCATACAGGCAACAATTAAGTCAAACACCCAACTCTTCCAGGACATGTTCTCAGCCATGCTCCGACATGGAGTCCAACCGGACCGATGGAAAGTGGCAAAATGCATACCAATCCCGAAACCAGGAAAATCCGACTACTCATCGGCCAAAGCCTACCGACCCATCTCCCTACTACAATGCTTTAGCAAAGTACTGGAAAAGATAGTGGCAACAAGATTATGCACTGCCGGAACCATCCTGGAAACCCTTAGTAAAGACCAATTCGGAGGCAGACCAACTATCTCAGCGATCGATGCCTTACTCCGCACGCTCACGCCCATCCAACAAAACCTCCTGATCAAAGCGAACTACAGGAACTACCCCAGACAGACCAGCACTCCTCACAAACGACATACAAGGAGCCTTCAACTGTGTCGACCACCTCCTACTCGCCGAGATCATGACCCAACAAAGATTTCCAACATACCTGACGACCTGGTGCAAGGAATTCAACACCAATCGAACACTTCAATTCCAATTTAACCACGAACTGGAACCACCACGACCATATTCCTCAGGACTACCCCAAGGATCCCCCCTATCCCCAGTACTATTTATGATATACGCCGGGGTAATAACAGACCCCACCAACTCTCCCAAAGAAATCAACACCACCTACATCGACGACGACGCACTCATCCAACTCGCGAAGTCCCCTCTCTTCATCACCAAAAGACTCAACGAAAGGATGGAAGAAAGAATTAAGAAAGCAGAACCCCTTAACATCAAATATGAACCCCAAAAATCCGACCTCGTCTTCTTCAAACCCACAACATCAAGCACCCCGGACCCTAAGAACTCGGTAAAAATCGCAAAAGAAGAAATCCACCCCAAAGATAGACTCAAATACGTAGGAGTCTGGCTGGACTCAACGCTCTCCTTCCGACCACACATCGAAGAAACCATCGCCAAAGGCCTCATAGCCCTAGGCAGAATCAGAAACATCGCCTACCTCCCAGGATCAACAACAAAATCCATCCACCACCCTCATCGTCCAAGGCTTCCTCCCCACCATCCTATGGGGATCGGAGGCATGGTGGACAGGAGCCGACCACATCCTCCGATCATTATCCCCCCTCTACAACGAAGCCGCCAGGATTATAACAGGCCTACCCCGCTGGACCAAAACCGAAAAACTACTGAAAGAGGCAGCACTTCCCCCACTCGAACACCTCCTCAACCACAAATCGCGGAAGTACGGGACGCGCATCCTCTGCCACCCTGCGGACCACCCACTCAACGAAGGACTCATCCAACTCCTCCCCACCAGAATAAAAAACATTAAAGGCACAGGCCTACATCGGATTGCATCACTCATGCTACCCTTTCAGGAACCAGGTAACCACAGAGAAAGATGGATACAAAACGATACCCTCACCAAACGCATGATAGAAGAATGGAACTCCATCCCACTCATCAACTACCACGAACCAGGAACCCTAAAAATCCCACCAAAGCGAGCAAAACTCCTCCGATCCAAAGCAAAACTCATCCACCGCATACGATGTCAAGTCACTAGGATAGACAGATATGCAGCATTTACGGAACCTGAACCCTGCCAATGCGGCTCGGAACAATCCTCCAAACACACCATGATCGACTGCCCACGATGGACACAACTACGAAGGCCACTTATGGACAAAATCCCGGGGCCGCCCACTTGGGAAAACTGGCTATTCACCAACCTCAACGTAGACCTGATTCTACAGTTTGCAACAAAAACCAACCTACTCGACTGGTACGAAATGGACGAGGAGGACCCGGAGGAATGATGATCGGTTTCTTTGGTTTTTTTCCTTTCTTTTCTGTACCTTCTTCTAAAAAATTCTTTCATCGTTTCCTTTGTTTCTCTCTTATGTTTGG